AGAGTTTCTGCTGAGAGATCTGCTGTTAGTCTGATGGGCTTCCCTTTGTGGGTAACCCGACCTTTCTCTCTGGCTGCCCTTAACATTTTTTCCTTAATTTCAACTTTGGTGAATCTGACAGTTATGTGTTTTGGAGTTGCTCTTCTCGAGGAGTATCTCTTCTCGAGGAGTATCTCTGTGGCGTTCTCTGTATTTCCTGATTGTAAATGTTGGCCTGCCTTGCTAGATTGGGGAAGTTCTCCTGGATAATACCCTGAAGAGTGTTTTCCAACTTGGTTCCATTCTCCCCATCACTTTCAGGTACACCAATCAGATGTAGATTTGGTCTTTTCACATAGTCCCATATTTCTTGGAGGCTTTGTTCATTTCTTTTTACTCTTTTTCCTGTCAACTTCTCTTCTTGCTTCATTTCATTCATTTGATCTTCAATCACTGATACCCTTTCTTCCACTTGATCAAATTGGCTACTGAAGCTTGTGCATGCATCACATAGGTCTTGTGCCATGGTTTTCAGCTCCATCAGGTCATTTAAGGTCTTCTCTATGCTGTTTATTCTAGTTAGCCATTCATCTGATCTTTTTTCAAGGTTTTTAGCTTCTTTGTGATGAGTTCGAACATCCTCCTTTAGCTCGGAGAAGTTTGTTATTACCGATCGTCTGAAGCCTTCTTCTCTCAACTTGTCAAAGTCATTCTCCGTCTAGCTTTGTTCCATTGCTGGCGAGGAGCTGCGTTCCTTTTGAGGAGAAGAGGTGCTCTGATTTTTAGAATTTTCAGCTTTTCTGCTCTGTTTTCTCCCCACGTTTGTGGTTTTATCTACCTTTGGTCTTTGATGATGGTGATGTACAGATGGGGTTTTGGTGTGGATGTCCTTTGTGTTTGTTAGTTTTTCTTCTAACAGTCAGGACCCTCAGCTGCAGGTCTGTTGGAGTTTTCTGGAGGTCCACTCCAGACCCTGTTTACGTGGGTATCACCAGCGGGGGCTACAGAGCAGCAAATACTGCAGAACAGCAAATGTTGCTGCCTGATCATTCCACTAGAAGCTTTGTCTCAGAGGGGCACCTGGCTATATGAGGTGTCAGTTGGCGCCTAATGGGAGGTGTCTCCCAGTTAGGCTACTCGGGGATCAGGGACCCACTTGAGGAGGCAGTCTGTCCGTTCTCAGATCTCGAACTCCGTGCTGGGAGAACCACTGCTCTCTTCAAAGCTGTCAGGCAGGAACGTTTAAGTCTGCAGAAGTTTCTGTTGCCTTTTGTTCAGCTATGCCCTGCCTCCAGAGGTGGAGTCTACAGAGGCATGCAGGCCTCCTTGAGTTGCGGTGGGTTCCACCCAGTTCGAGCTTCCTGGCTGCTTTGTTTACCTACTCAAGTTTCAGCAATGGCAGACGCTGAGCCTCCCCCAGCCTCACTACTGCCTTGCAGTCAGACTTCTGTGCTAGCAGTGAGTGAGGCTCCATGTTCATGGGACCCTCCGAGCTAGGCATGGGATATAATCTCCTGGTGTGCCGTTTGCTAAGACCATTAGAAAAGCGCAGTATTAGGGTGGGAGTATCCCGATTTTCCAAGTACCGTCTGTCATGGCTTCCCTTGGGTAGGAAAGGGAATTCCCTGACCCCTTCTGCTTCCTAGGTGAGGCGATGCCCCACCCTGCTTCAGCTCACACTCCGTGGACTGTACCCACTGTCCAACAAGCCCCAGTGAGATGAACCTGGTACCTCAGTTGGAAATGCAGAAATCACCCTTCTTCTGCGTTGCTCACGCTGGGAGCTGTAGACTGGAGCTGTTCCTATTTGGCCATCTTGGAAACAACACCAGAAACGGTTTAAAAAAAATCACTGTTAACTCATGGATTTTAGTATATTTGATAGCAAATATTTATTTTAATGAACAGTTTTAAAAAACTTACAAACACAGGAAAGGATGATTAAGGTAAACATTTTAAGCTATTAGCTACATCAAAGATTTTCAGATGGATAAATCCAGTCACCCCGAAACCTGTGGGCATCGTATCGGGGATGTCTTTCCTGGCTGGGTGTAGAGGGGGTTGGGTGGGGATAATTACCTCCCATACGAGGACTTTGCTCCATTCATGGACTCCCAGACTGCTTGAGTGAGTATTCAGCCCTGAGTGGGGTCTCCGCATTCCACCAGGAGGGAAGCCTTGTCCTCCACGACCTGCCTGTCTGAATTTTGGTGGGTCTTCTTTAAGACCCAGAAAGAGATTCCCTTTGCTGCTAAGCCCCCACCACTTGCACTGTGGTTATGCAGCTCATCTGGAAATGCTTCTGTCATTCCTCAGACCTCAAGCTCTGTTGTTAGTAGGAAGCATGGGCCTGACTTTTGATTAAAAAAAAATTAAAAATGTCCAGTCACCAGTCACACTTTTCTTCTGTGTGTTTATCAATACTTAATAGCAGACCGTGGCATATAAACTGGGTTGTAGATTCGTTTTTTAGATTCAAATAATTTCTCTAAAGCAGGTAGAAAACATTTCGTGAGTTTGACGTGTAATGTTACTGTGAAATTCCTTATTTTTGTAGAAAGATTAAATAATGAAGAGACCATTGTTGTTCCTTCTGAGCCTTCTCTGATTTTAAAATAGGTATTAATGTAGATAGCAGGAGCGAGACTAACATCGTGAAGGCTGTGGCCCCATCGTTCAGCTTGTGAAACTTTCACGTCGTCGTGTTGGCTTCAGATCTTCGTAAAGGAGAATTGCCCATCCAGATACAAATGAGGCCCCTCCCATCTCCTCCCCAGTCCTGGTCCCACGGTCTCCTTCCCAGCATTTGAACTGCAGGGAATGTTAGAGTTACCCTGAGACGACCCATCGCTAAGATGTAAAAATCTTAGAACATCACGCTACAACGTGTGTTTCTGTGATGCCCGTTTCCTCAGGCTTGAGACCTGCGTGTGCAGTCCTTCCCCGAGCACGGGGAGCCAGACCAGTGGGAGCAGGAAGGACCTCCACGGGGTGCTGGCACCTTAGAAACTTCTATATCTATCATCTTAAGAAACTCCACCGGACTGCCACATCGCCATGCTTCTGCAGCCGGTCCAGGGACACAGCTTCGACTGGCCTGGCCCAGCCTCATTTCCCCCATCAACCCCATTAATTTTAGTGTGTGGGTTTGCAAAAATGCGGTTTTCGTGGATGCATAGCACAGCGCTGTAGGAGAGATGGCAACACGTGTTGCTTTGAACTCTCTTACCTTGTTATTCCTGTGTGACTGTTAGTTACCTTTGCAAAAGCCAGATGAAACATTGTCACGATTTTATAGTTCCATCTCTTGTTAAAGTTGGAAAGTCACTAAACTCTACCTATTGAAAGGAAGTAAAGGTGGGCCAGGTGCCATGGCTCACGCCTGTAATCCCAACACTTTGGGAGGCCAAGGCGGGCGGATCATGAGGTCAGGAGATTGAGACCACGGTGAAACCCCGTCTCTACTAAAAATACAAAAAATTAGCCGGGCGCGGTGGCGGGCTCCTGTAGTCTCAGCTACTAGGGAGACTGAGGCAGGAGAATGGCGTGAACCCAGGCGGTGGAGCTTGCAGTGAGCCAAGATCACACCACTGCACTCCAGCCTGGGCAAGAGAGCGAGACTCCGTCTCAAAAATAAATAAATAAATAAAATAAAGAAAGTAAGTAAAGGTAACTTTTTGAGTTAAAAAAATAGAGAAAGAAAGAAAGCAAAGAAAGAAAACAAAAGAACAAACCTGGAGCCAAAAGAATGTCCCTTTACTAGGATGAAAAGTCATGAATTATGGGTTTGTGATGACAGGATTTCAGTTTTCATTTGAATCAGTTAAATTATCATGCAAATTGATTTAAAATTGCGGTTCATTTATTCATTGAATTAAAAAGGCTGGAAGGAGTAAATAGTTGAGGTTAGAAGAAAATATGCTGCTTGATTGAATGAATTCACTACTTTGTACTGTGTCTTGCAGTATGGTATTTGGAAGTCAACTGGATATCCATTCAGGTGGGATAGATTTAGCTTTTCCACATCATGAAAACGAAATTGCACAGTGTGAAGTCTTTCATCAGTGTGAGCAGTGGGGAAATTATTTTCTGCATTCTGGTAAGTACTAACTTCAGATTTAATTTGTTCTGTTTCAATGCTGGCAGTTCTGCCTTTGTCGGCGGAACAGCTACATTTGGAAATACATAATAGATCAGCTAATAGGTCAAGAAATGGATTTGCCTCTTAAATTATTTTTGAGTTTCAATCATTTGGACATGAAATTCCTTGGATTGCAGCAATGATTATACCTTTTTGGAACTGACTAGAATATGGAAAATGTTTGGCAATGCTGTTCTATATATGTTTCTTTCAAGTAAAACTATTAGGAAGGAACTTCAAGTAGTACAATGTAATGATAATTATGAACACTCCTTTCTGAAGCTACAATATTGTCACTAGACATCTCTGCCATCGTCTAAAATCATTGCCCTTTCTTCCACTGTTCAAACCCCTCATTGATGAACCCCAGCTGTCTGCTCTCAGAAGTGGATGCTACACCATGAGTTAAGCAACACCTCAAACCCAGCAGTTTTGGAATTCACCTGGATGCACTGGAAGAGTCATATCTCCAAGTTTACAGGGCCAGAATTAGCTAGTCTTACTACCTTTTGGAAATGGCCAGCTAAGGTATTTGAGACGAAGAAATATAAAGAGTGTCTGGTAGTGATAGGATTTGGAGATGCAAACTTCGACATCTAAAATACAGAAAATTAACGAATACTAGTTTTTGAAATCCTTGAAAGGGAAATTAGGATGTCACAGTGAGGTGACATTAAATGCAGAAGTGCTCCGGTTTTCTGGTCCGCAGCAGGGTTCACTTGGGTTTCTTCATGAAAGTAAATAGATGAGGCTGATTGCCCCAAAGCCACTTCCTCAGTGACTCCGTTCAGGGCTCAGTTCAGCACCTGCTGAACTGTCTGAGGAGCTGGCGTTGCTCCCTCCGCAGGCGCGTTTCTGTCTGCAGATGTATCCTCTTCAGTGGGTCAGGGTTTGTCATTGACACCACGACCTGCCATGAGCCCTCCAGCGAGTGTGGAGCTGGGGGCAGAAAGGGCAGCCTTAGCTGTGTGAGGTTGGCCCTGTCAGGTAATGAGGAGGGCGGGGGTCTAGAAACGGAGGTCGTGTTTACCTTCTGATGTGGGAATGGGAAAGCATTTGTTGTTGTTGCTGTTGTTCTTGTTGTTGAGACAGTCTCGCTGCATCCCCCAGGCTGGGAGTGCAGTGGCACTATCTGAGCTCACCGCAAACTCTGCCTCCCGGGTTCAAGCAATTCTCCTGCCTCTGCTGTCGTAGTAGCTGGGACTACAGGTGCACACCACCACACCCGGCTAATTTTTGTATTTTTAGTAGAAGCGGGGTTTCACCATGTTGGCCACGCTGGTCTCGAACCCCTGACCTCAAGTGATCCACCACCTCTGCCTCCCAAAGTCTGGGATTATAGGCGTGAGCCACCGCACCCCGTGGGAAAGTTTTGTTGCTATTTTTCCAGTGATTTTTTTTTTTCCACCACCTATTAAGATACCAGGAATCTTTTTCATACTAGTTTGGCCCCAAACGAAACATCAGTGTCTCCTGACACAGGAGGTTACACCTGTTCCCCTGTACCTAGTGGATGGAAGAGCTACGTGGGCAGACGCTATCCCAGCCTGTTAGGGCTGCTGTAGCCAAATACTAAAAGCGGGCATCTTATGAACAGCAGCAATGAATTCCTGCCGGTTCTGCTGGCTGGAAGTCCTGCGTCCGCGCACTGGCAGATTCGGTGTCCCGGAAGGGCCTGCTTCCCATTCATAGATGGCCATCAGCTCTCCAGGGACCTCTGTTATAAGAGCACCGATTCCATTCACACTGGCTCTGCCCCCTGTGACCTTATCACCTCCCACAGACCCTGCCTTCAGTGACCATCACCTGAGGGCTGAGGATTTAGACAGGAATTTGGGAGGACATAAACATTCAGGCCTTAGCAAATGTGTTTCGTTTTCCAAATATCAGTTTTGGTGTAATCACGTTATATAGAATTACATATTCAAAGTTATATATGTTTTTTTGGAAATCACAATCTAATCAGTTTGTTTGTTTGTTTGTTTTTGAGGCAGAGTGTTGCTCTGTGGCCCAGGCTGGAGTGCAGTGGCATGAACATAGCTCACTGTAGGCCCAACCTCCTGGGCTCAAGCGATCCTCCCACCTCAGCCTCCTGAGTTGCTGGGATGTTGGGACTGCAGGTGTGCCCTACCACGCCCAACTAATTTTTAATTTTTTTGTAGAGACCAGGTGTTGCCATGTTGCCCAGACTGGTCTCCAAACTCCTGGGCTCAAGTGGTCCTTCTGCCTTAGCCTCCCAAAGGGCTGGGATTATGGGTGTGAGCCACTGTGTCCGGCCTGGAGCACTGCTATTTGTGTCAGAAAAAGAGGAACAGTCTTCTGTTAGAAACAGAAAGCACTTCTCTTGGAGATGAGCCTTGTAAAGCTACAGGCCAGGGAGAATTTCAGGGTCAGATTTAGGAGTTCCTTAAATGGGTTTGGTTTTCCTCCTGTCTTTCACATACATAGGGGATGAAATAATACCCGTGTCATCGAAGTCTGTGAAAACAACTGCACAGAACCTCTGATTCTTCCCACTCAGGGACCCACAAGCACCACTCTGTTTCTGGACAACGATCAACAAGCTTCACCGCCAAGTGCCTGATTTGCCAAATGAGAGCTTTGTCTTTTCTTCAGATGCTGTCCGTTAAATCAGTATCTCTGAATTACAGGAAAAGGGAAAATAGATGAAATACTGCTGTCGGCACCACGGTTGCTGGTTCTTGTTTAGCTTCTGAGTCAGCTGGGACACCCCTGCCATCCGCCCTTGGTGTGGGGCTGTGTCCCTGAACCATAGAACAAGGGCAGGTTGTGTCTTCCCAGAAGGCCCAGCACGGGTGAAGATTTGGGGGCAGGTTTATACCAACATACACCGGTCTGTACATTGGATACGTGCAGGTTCCCATTCGTTTCCCGGGAAGCCATGTGTCCCTGAGGCCAGAGAGTCTCCTCACCCAGCTCAGACTGAATGCTTTTGTTTTTGTTTCAGGGCATTTGCACGTGAAAGGCAAAGAAGAAAAAATGTCCAAATCGTTAAAAAACTACATTACTATTAAGGTAATGTGCTTTTTGTACAGTATCTCTGAGGTGCTGATAGCTTGTGGAACCCGTCTCAGAGGCTTCTGTGTCATTTGAGAACCACAGAAACCCATTCCCAGTGCCCTCTGGCCCCTTTCCTAGGACGAGACCTGCCTCACCTCCCTCCCACGTTAAGTGGCTCTCCGCGTAATCGCGCTCTCAGCTGTGCGCCTCCTGCGGGTTTCCGCAGTGTCTTGGTGGAGCTTACCTTTCTCTTTCCGGGCTTCAAGGCCGGCGCCTTCTTGCTTGTCTTTTCCTTTTATAATGGTTGTCTCTCTCTCGGCACATCTGCTAACTTCCTTCCCTCCCTCATCCACTGCCTCCTACTAGTGTGGCTTTGGGATTTGTTTGGGTTTTGCTGTTTGCCTTTAATAGGCTCAGAGCTGGCTGGATCCTTAACCAACCTGAACAATGTCATCGTGCTGTGGCGCTGACACATGGAATGGGAATTTCCGTGTGTGAATGAAGAACAGGCGCACACACGGAGGGCTCTGGCTGACATAGTTTGAGCTCCTCCTTTGTCTTCTGGCCTGTCTTTAAAGCCAGATTTAATTTAATTGCAAAATAAATGGAGAAGAATAGTATCCAGATCTCACCACCTAAACAGCAAACCAGTGAAAGCTGTACCCGTCAGATTTAGGATAAACCAACAGGGACTGCTCCTCACAAAATAATTTGTATATAGTTTCCTTACGTAGACTTTTTCCACTTTATCCCGGGCAAAATTTCGAACCTACAGAAAAGTGGAAAGAAACGTCACTACGGCTGCACCCAGATTCACTGATTGTGATTATTTTGCTGTATTTGCTGTGTAGGATCTTTTCCTCCTACCCGGCTTAGATTCTCTCACCTAAATTAATTAGTAAATTAGACTGGCCAAAGACAGATTATCAAGAGAAGAGAAATGTATTAGCGCATGCACAGCACACGTAGAAGTGGAGCAAGGCAGTTGCATGACTCAGAGGGGGGTCGGAGCCACAGGGTTGCATGATGCAGAGTGGGGTCGGAGCCCGGCCACGGGGTTGCATGACGCAGAG